CCCCAAAACCCCAAAACCCCAAAACCCCAAAACCCCGTTATTTTGATTTTATATTGATTTTAATAATAAAAATGAGCTCAGATAATATGGAAACATCCCAAGATAATGGACATAGAGGCCTCACCAAGAGAAGGATAAAAATGGAGAGGAACAAGAAGAAGACAGACAATAGTATCTACTATTATGGACCCGAAAGGAAGTACATCTCAGGATATACAGAAAGTAAGTTAATGCCTTATCATTGCATAATTAGGTCTAGAGAAAGGATACGATGGGGAAGAGATGACCAATCCTAGTACGAGTAAATAAAACTAAAACTACCAGTAAATCAAGGGGCAGGGCCAAGGATCTTAGTTCTGTCAAGAAGACTCTATTCAAGAATGAAAAGAGCGGAAACACGAAAGGTGAGTGGTCCTAATTAGGACTTACAATTCTCTTACAATGAGAGAATATTCATTTTGCGCATTTTTAAGTAGGATTTATTTTTATATAGTAACTCTATAAAATCGTTAGAAGATTTACCATCTCTGCCGTTCCACCAAGGGTGCTAACGCATTTATAGGTTCCAAAAGTAGGAAGAGCAGAGAGTGAAACAGAAATGAAGAAGAACAGAAATCTTCACTTGGTAAGTCACAGTGGAATTAAAAGAAATAACTCGAACTAGTTGTTTGGCAAGTCTTTTGAAACTCAAGTTTTATTATTGAGGGTTAGAGAGAGTGTCTTCCAAGCATCTACCTAGAACTCGCGGTTTTCTTACATTAATGCTGAATAAGAAAATCTAAAAGTGTTTGTTTTCGGTGATTTGCACAAAAATTGTGAAAATTATACTCAGACCAATAAACTTTTCTGTTAAAATTCAAAGAATTTTAGAAATATCATCACAATTGAGGATTAAATATTATTTATTCCTCGAGATTACATATAAAATAAACTCCGAGTGAGGTTTCCTTATATAGAATGAGTCTAATGGTAAAATATTAGAACAGATCCTTAGTCAGCCCCTACCTTGGCTACTACTCCTTTTGGAAATGAGGAGGATCTATCGATAAATTATTGCTTCATTTTCATAAATTTGTATATCTTCGTGTTGTCGTATTGAGAGTACTTCAAAAATTATCTACATTCTGGCTTTAAATATTTTGGCAAATCACCTCATATCTTGACCACTGGAGAGGAATGGAGGACCAAATTTTATATCATATTGAATCATTTCCAGATGGGCAAAAATCAATTTTATATAGGCAACCAGGTCCGGACCAGACAAGAGAATTCACTTGGAGAGTTGACCAAGAAATTTATCGAGCTTATCAAGCAGAGTGAAAATAATACTATTGATCTGAATTACGCAGTGGAGCAACTTGATGTACAGAAGAGAAGAATCTATGACATTACCAACGTGCTTGAAGGGATTGGTCTTATAGAGAAATGCTCTAAGAATAAGATCAGATGGAAGGGATCCCTCACCATGAATATCTCTGCCAATACTTTGGAGCCTACCTGCACTACTTCTTATTTAGACAACTATGAAGAAGATGATGAGATCCAGAGACTCAAGGATGATCTCCTTGCTCTTGAAGAAGAAGAGAGATTGCTTGATGGTACTATTGAGAACGTAGAGAATCAGCTTGATGAAATGTCCAAAGACCCTCTATATGAGCAATTTGCATATGTGACATTCGAAGATATTAACAAGCTTAAAAATATAAATGGAGATAATGATAGCACTCTTGTAGCAATTAGAGCCCCTAAGGGGACAACTCTGGAGATACCGAATAAGCCAACCTCTCACGATCACTCTAAAGATGAAGAACTCAATAAAGACGAGAATGGTGAAGATTTAGACACCAATCAGATCTTTCTTGTAAGTCCGAAAGAAGAAATCTATGTCTATATGATTGAGAATGAGAATTCCAGCTCACTATAAAGTCTCCAAATAATGACGACGAAGAAGATATGGAGATAGACCATGATAATGGACAAAACCTAAAAGATGCCGACTTGATTTGTAATGAGACTATCGCTGAAAATGAGCATCAGAATGGAAAGGAAAGCAACGGATTCGATGAATCCGAGCACCACGATGGGGGCCTACGATGGCTATAAACCCACCTCAAAGTTGTTGTAAAAGTTTTACGTTCAATTCATAATAAATGAAGAGGGGTTTTGGGGTTTTGGGGTTTTGGGGTTTTGGGG